AAAAAAAAAAAAAAGGGGTGACTAACTTTCTAGGGCGGAGGGCCAGGGTGAGGTGCAGGAGTAGGGGTCACTGTGTGCCAGGCAGACATCCAGACATCTGGATCTGCAGTGGCGCTCTGGGGTGTCAGGAAATCTGTGCCAGGGAATGGGGCAGTGTGTGGGAAGGGCAGGCCCCATGGAGGGCTCTCTCAGACCAAACTGATAGAACTGGATTCCATCTGCACACGCCCACTCCTGTGCGTGCGCATGCTCACACACTCGCAGGTGCAGGGAGCATACATGCTGCACACGCACCTTTGCATGTGACACGTATGACACATATGTGTACACACCAGAGGTTCTGGGGGCTCCAGCTCTCCACTGTGCTCCTCTGGATCTCCCCAGTCTCCCTGGCTTGGCTGTGACTCCACTCAGGCCCTGGCAGTGCCCTCCTTCAACCTCCTCCAGCTCCCAGGGATGGGGCAGATTGGACCCAGGGTCAGGACACGGGGATGAAAGCAAGGCCCTGGGTGTCGCCAGCTGGCATGGCCCAGCCACCCTGGATGTGGAGGCAGACACAAGCAGCCAGCCCAGGCTGCCGCAGAGGGACTCCCAGCCCTCTCATCTCCCAACAGGAGATCCGGCCTTCTGGAAAACTCCAGTGACAAGCTTTCTAGGAAAAGCAGGCCTCTATGACGTCAAGGCTATGGAGCCGGGAGTGAGGACCAACCTCCAGGAAGGGCCCACCCAGGGCTGCGGGAGACCTGTGGCACAGTGCTAGAACGTTCTGAAGCCCTCTGGACAAGACGGCAGCCCGCTCTGCTCCTGAAGGCCCCTCCCCAGTACAGCCAGCCTGTGTCTCTCACACACCGTGGGGCGCCCACCCCTTTCCACTTGGCAGTATGGACAGGACAGCCATGCGAGGTGATTTTTTCCAGCAAGGTGAGCGTGTGCCTGTATGTGTCCTCCCTGCCACCCGACCCTGTCAGACAGTAATGGCCACAGCTTTCCAGGTGGCAACACAGGAGGAAGGTTGGGAAGGCGGCCCAAGGGACCCTGAACATCTGGAGCAGCAGCCCCATGGCCTCATTCCTCTCCCCCTTGTGGCCCAATGGCCTGGAACACAGTCGTTTGTCCAGCGTGGCTAGTCCTCGGTGTTGGGTGACCAACAAGGCCAAATGCAGCCTCAGTGGAGCAGTGTGCCATCCATCACGGAGCGTAACCCAGGCACCCTAAAGGGCAAGGACCAGTGGAAAACCAGGCCCCGGCAGGAGGGGACAAGATGCTGCGGGCAGGGTCCTCTGGCTGTCCCCACTGCCCTCCAGAACACTGTCCTAGGACGCGGTCTTCACTCAGGCTCGGCCACAGGATTACTGGGCAGGGTGCCTGGCAGGTCCAGACGCTGAGGACACAAACACAAGGCCTAGAGAGGGTGGGGCTCAGACACTCTGAGGCCACACCAGGCCCTTCCAGGGACGTCCCACAGGCGCACCTCCTACTCCCTTCCCAGCATTTACTGCCTGCCAAGCCCATCAGAATCTAGTTCCGATGCAGCCGGCCGCCAGTGCCCATCTGTTCTCCTGTCCAGCCCCTGAGGACCCACTGTCCAATGCCCAGTGTAACCCCCAGCCAGCTCTTGCCAGAACAGGGCCTCAAAAAGTCAGTCTCCTCACCCGTGAAACGGCGATTCCTGAGTGCCTGCCCAGAAGGCTGGGGGAGGCGTACGTGAGACGTCAGGTGACCCAGCCCAGCAGGTGCCCTTGCCAAGCTCTTAGAGAACAGGTGTTCTCACGACTGACTTGAGCCCAACGCCCTGATTTCCAAATCCCTGAATCTTCAGGGCCGGGCCCAGGGCCAGCGTGCAGGGGCTCTGACACCGATTTCTCAGGCTTGGCTGTGTCCAGCGTTGTGAGGAGCCAGGCACCTGGCTGCAGAAACAACTGCTCACGAGCTTGCTCACATTCCTTCGCTCCTCACTCACTGACACTTTATCCTGTCTTAAGTTAAACCGCGTAGGAAGCAGGGTGGTCAGGGACACACTTTGGCAGCAGAGCCCAAGGCAGGGCTCCATGTGGGAAGCTCTGCTGCGCTGAAGCATCCAAAGGAAGGAGACGCCAGGGGACCAGAGGGCAGGGGAGTCCTGCCCCAAAGGTGCCTTTTTTGAGACAGGGTCTCACTCTGCAGTCCCGGCTGGCCTTGAACTGGGGGTGATCTCCCGCCTCAGCCTCCCAAGTGCTGGCACGACAGCTGTGCACCACCACACCTGGCTGAGGCTCTGCCTTCAGGGACCCTGAGGCTGTGCCCAGCGCCAGCTGCACTCAGGGAACATGGCCTGCCTGTGGGGCGCTGGCCGAGCGCATCCAGGAGAAGGCAGAGGGGATGCAGGCTGCACCTGTACCCAGCAGCAGCTGCAGTAGAGATGGGCCCGTGATGTGTGCAGACACAGTGGTGTGAGAGCCAGGTCAGCACCCCGTGAGGGGCAGGACTGCTGGGACTCACAGTGAAGCCCCAAGGCTCCTAGCTCCGAGGGCATCGGGCTGGAGACCACAGTGCCGGACCACCAGCACTCTCTGGAGGACTGAGGTGGGCGACGGGACCTCACAGAACAGGCTGGGGCAGTGGGGAGAGATGCGGACAGGCCCACACTGCCGGATGCCAGCTCAGGAGCGGGGTGCTGGGGCCAGAGGCCTGGGCCCTGCTAGTCAGGGTGGGCCACACGCCACCACTGTGGGCTGGCTGCACGTACATCCGGGCCCCTGGCTGGAGTCCCAGGTCCCGGCCCTCTTGTGCTCAGCATATGCTTGAATTTTATAGGAATTCACACTAAATGCAATGAGGGTAAAAAAGTATGAAAACTCGAGCAAAAAACATGGGGCACAAACCAAGGTCAGAAGTGATGGTGGATTTGGGCTGCGACTCCTACTTCAGCTCTGGGTCTCAGCCCTGCCCCGCCCGCTGGCCTCAGAGTGGAGGTCTTCTCAGGAGAGGCTGGAGAACTGGAGGGAGAGGAGCCCATGGTGACCAGAGGCACTGCGGGTACACGTGTTCCTCCCCTAGTGGGTTCATGCCCAGCACCCCACACCCCATCTTTCAGTGGGCTCTGGGCAGGACCTCTGGGGGCTGCTGGCGGGGACAGGTCTGGGAGCCTTGAGAAAAGCTCTGCTGTGGCACAGGGCACTGTTGAGAGCCTGGAGCCACAGAGAATGTAATCCCTGCCCCTGATCACACACAGACTGAGGGAACAGGAGGGACCTGAACTTGTTTGCTTGCTTAGTGCACCCGATTCTCGGCCCCCGCCTTTCCTGTCCTTGCTGGTGGCAGCACCATGCTACAAGGTGGGCGGAGGGACTGGGGCTTGTGGGGCGAGCTTGGAGCCCTCGGAGAGGAGCTGGAGCTGGAGCCTGAGCGTCCCTCAGCAGTGAAGGCTGCAGCTCCTGACAGCACCCGGGGTAGCCAAGGTCAGAACATTCTGGAAGGCCTGAGAAACGAGGAAGCGCTGCTGAGTCAGGGCAGGGAAGACAGGCTGAGTGGCGGCAGGAGTGTGGGTTGTGCAAGCCTCACCGGAGGCAGCGTGCCCTCGGGGCCAGGCTCCACTGCCAAGAACAGACAGCCTGGCCCAGAACCGAGTGTGATTAATTAAGAGGACAAACAGGAAGGCTTTTCACCTGCCAGACCTCAGTCAGGGTTTCCTATGAGACAGACGATAGCATCAGGAGCCCGTGGAGTACAGGCAGTCTTGTTCCGTGCAGTGACGTGAGCAGGGCAGGGCACGCGCAGTCCCGCAGCTGCACAGGCTCGAGGGAGAGGCCCAGGCCGCGGGCAGGTGGGCTCCAGGCCCTATGGCTCACAGCAAATCCTGACTGCGGCCTGGGCCCAGGGCTTGCTGCTTTCCTGGTGATCTGCATCTCTGGCCTCACACAGAGCTTTTCTTCTGGCCCGTTCCAGGAATGGAATCTTCCCTGAACGACAGAGGAAACAGGATGAGAAAGTGGCTTGAGGTTGAAAGACAATGGAGCAGAGCTGGCAGCTTCCGCAGCAGGCCTGCCGCTGGGTCTCCGCCCAAGGCAGTGGGCTTGTGTCCCTGGAGAAACGCAAATCTGAACACTGCTCAGCAGTCACCTGTCACAGCCTCTGCAGCCTGGGCAGACACAGCCCTCTGCATTTGGTCAACAGCCAGAAACAGTGAGCAGGTAACAGGCCAGAAACGTGGCCTTGCTTTCAGGCTCCACAGGACCGAACTTGTCTGTCTCTGGGGCGGCTGGAGTGCAGCAGCCACACACACACACACACACACACACACACACACACACACACACAGGGTGGGAGGTGGAGAGATTCAGGATGAGGTCACTTGATGCCTAGCTTCAGACCACAGGGCCCAGGGCCAGCACCCCCAGACCTCAGCTTAGGCTCCTGAGTGCCACTGTGACTGCTGGACTGTGACATCAGCTGGAACAAGCCCTTCTGACGGAGCCACCCACCCAAGACCCAAGAACCAAGGGTGGTGCTGGGCCACATGCCAGCTAGGTGCTTGGGGGCTCACCTCTCACTGGAGGACACAGGACCATGACCTCAAGTGAACCCCTCCCCTGCAAGGCAGGGCTCCCCATGGAGCAGGGGCACAGGAAGGGCACTTTTCACAGACCAGGGTACTCCTGGAGAACCACAAGCCTTAGCCCCCTGCGTGGCCACCTTCCCAACTCACACACACACACACACTCCAAACACAGCATGCACCTCAGCACACAGCACATGCACCTCAAGCACACAGCAAACAGAACACACAAAAGACACATACCTCAGACACATCAGCGCCCCTTATACACTTCAATACTGTACCGTGTATACCCCAAACATAGCATGCAGCACACACTACACACACATATACCTCATACACAGCACACACACACTCCAAACACTGCATACACCCAACAAAGCACTCCCAACACTGCACACCAGTCCCCTGCAAACACATATGCACACGCACACGCAACGCCACTGCTTTGGGCGGGACCACAGCCAAATAGGACATCCAGTGTTCACTCTGTTCACTAACCTGCTCCAAGGAAGAGTAGTCTGGGTAGCCCACGCACCCTTCCCCTTTACCACGGCTCTGCATGGCCTTAGGTATGCAGGGGTGGGACATCCTCTCCAACGTGAGGGGCGGTCCCCCATCTCACATGTGGAGGGATGTGTCAGATGCCAATGTGAGGCACCAGGACGGGAAAACTCGCCTCTGTGGCTGGGGGCAGAGAGCATACGGTGACTCAGGGAGAAGAAAATGTCCTGCACAAGCAGACCGGCAGGTGTGCCTGCACTTCACAGTTCCTGCTCAACCACTGGAGTCCAAAAATGCGCATCTGATGAATCTGCTCCCTGAGCCTCAGCTGCCCCTTTATCCCTCCCTCAGCAGCACTGGTTACACAATGAGGGAAGAGAAACAGCAGCAGCAGCAGCAGCACTATTTGAAAGGAGTCTGCCCTCTGCCCCTCGGCACATCTTGGGACTGGTAGAGCCTGCCACTGGCTTTTAGGGCAGGGAGGAGAATCTGCCCTGCTCTTGGCCTGGTTTGCCTAAGCAAAGTGGAATCTCAGAAACACTGAGAACACGGCATACTTGATTGTTTTAGGCAACCATCAGACATGTGGCAGTGACCTGTGAGCAGGGAACTCACTGAGACATGAATAAATGTCAATTTAAAAAGTGGACCTGCAGATACTGAACAGAACTTTTTATTTTTATTTTTTTGAATAATCATTGACTATTCTCAAAGGTTGTTGTAGGAAACATAGTAATAAACATACATCCATTTGCAAAATAGCATAGGAACAATACAAACATTACAGAGTTACAGATAGATAGTAGGAAAATATCAATGGCTGCTATAACATATGGTGGTATCTTCAAAGTGGTTTCTCAGGAAGACAGAGATACGCAAAAAAGATCTAACAAGTAGTTACAGCCTAAGGGTTGTGAAAAATAGTGTATTACCTCCTCACCAGTGACTCCTTTCACTGAGGTGTGATGGCTGGAAGGAAGGGCAGGATTGAAGAGAAGGACTGAGAGACTTGCACCTGTGTCTAGCAACAGGCTGTTTTCTTTTTCCTCTATAGTCATGATTACCCGGGGCTCCTCCATGGAGATGACAGTCTGGCCAGAGGGAGAGGGCAGAGAATGCCCTGGGCCCCATCATTCCTGTTGGACTAACTGGTAGGATGGGTCTGAGCTCTGGGGCATCTGCTTCAGAGGGCAGACCACTCTCCAGTGGTCATCTTTGCAGTCAGGGCATGGCCCAGGGGGCTTTTCAGAGCAGTTCCTCTTGAGGTGGCCTGGCTTTTAAGAGTGGTAGCAGATGAATGTAGTTGTCAAGTTCTTCTTGGGGCCCCGAGAATCAGACTTAGGGTCTGTTTCTCTTAGTGCTGCAGCAAAAGCAACTGCTTTTTCTCCGTCTCTTTGTTTTCTCTCCTTGGGCTCCTCCTCGTCAAGGCTATAGAATACTGAGGAAGCAATTCTTACTAACATCTCAAGTGAGCCATCTGGGGTGAAAGCCATTTTTTGTAGCTTTTTCTCTCCAGCCTCCCAGCACATTGAAACACTGCAACCACTTAGTGTCCTCTCCCCAACCGTCAGCACAGGCAGCAGGAATCTCGGGGCAGACCTCTCTGGAGCTCCACACACTTCCCCACCACAGCCTGTACTATCAGGGGAAGAATGGCTTCCAGGGGGTCTCCCCAGGCATTGCACAAAGTCCTCCTGGTTTCCAGCTTTGGAACGGCTCTTGTGACCCCAGTCAACTAGACCTCTGAGTCTTCAGGCGTACACTGTATTCTTGTGTTCTCCCTGTCCTTGTTGAGCAGCTGCTCCTCTGCTGACTCTGGACCTTTCTGGTTCTCAGTGGCAGGGGCAAGAGCGACCCGTTGTGTGGCATGTATTCCCAGGGGTTTCTCCATGTTGGAATGATGCAAGCACATCTGTGGGTGGGCCTCTGCAGCCAGCGCGTGGTGGGCCAATTGTGTCATTACTTCTCTGTGCCATGATAGTTCTCAACTGCGTGGTGGTAAATGGGTTGAGGGCCGGTGCGTGCCAGTGTGCGCCGCTGTGCAGCTTCCCAGATGCCAGGGGCCCACCTCCCGGGTGCCTGTGCAGCTACGGGCCGGCCCAAAGGCCAGCACACCCCGCCATGTGGCTTCCTGGGCGTTAGGGGCCCTCCTCCCGGGAACAGAACTTTTTAGAACTGTGCTTAATACTGATGACGAATGTGCATCTCTCCAACCTTTCTAAGCATCATCATGTGACGAAGCAGCCATAGAGCCTGTTGTGGTGGGGCACAAGGTGGTTACTGCCCTTGGGGCTGTCTACTCCTTACGCCCCTTCCCTCTCTCATGCTGATGGCCTGCTGGTGGCTAAGGGCGTCTAAACCACTGTCACCAGCCCTCCAAAAACCCAAGAGCAGGACATCTACTGGTTTGGAAGCCAGTGAGCCAGGTGAAGACACCCACCAAGGAAGGGGTAGGTGACACCAGCTGTGACCAAGGATCACCAAAGAGCAGCACAAATGCAAAGTGAAGCTTGCCACTTGGGCCCCAGTCTCTACCTGCAGGGGTGGTGGCAATGGTGGTCTCACTGGGTAGCCATGGGCACTGAATGAGCTGCAGGCCGTACATGCTAACAGCAAACCAGCACTGTGCATTCAGCTGCTGGCTGTGGATCACCTGTAGGGCTTTGCATTCCTAGAAATCAAGACAGTGCTCGGAGCTTTCCATACTAAAGCACCTCCTCATGTGCTGGGCACTGTCGCAGGCCACACAAAATTCAACAAGTGTGGTTCTCAAGCCCAGGGCAAAGAGCTGCTGCTCCTGAGCTGGTGGGTGTGCATGTGTGTGTGGTTCTGTGTAAGGGACTCTCAGGTTCTCAAGCAGCTCATGCCTCCACACAGCCAAGGACCACTGTTCTGAGGATTCACAAGTCAAGGAAAAGGCAGACATGAGCCTGGCTGGGAGGAATGGCCTGTCATGATTTCCACCCCCGGCCATGTTTGCTCAGCTTGTGACCTGAGGGAGCTCCAGTGCCCCAAGACTCCCTCCTCCAACATGTAGACGGTCTTCTCATTTCCAGGCACTTGAAGGAAATCTCAGATGAAAAACACGGCACAGGATCTAGATTCCTGGCTCAACGTATCGAGTGTTGCCTAAGAAGATCCAGATTTCCTCCCGAATGGTAAAGTCCCTGGGTTACGTCCTCGGACCAGGCATGAGCGCACTGGACCCAGAAAGCAAGAGGCAGTTCTTGAGTTTCAGCTGTCCCAAAGTGAAGGCAGCCCCAGGCCTTTTGGGGAATGGCTGGCTTGTGCCTCATCTGGATATTGGGTGAGGGCCGAGGGCAGAGGGCAGACTCCCATGAGGCTCTGAAGAGGGAGGAAAGAGGGCCATGCTATGGATAGTAAGTGCCGGCAGGCTTTCTGACCTTTGGAACCGAACTCGCCAGGCTCCGGCCCTGGGTTTGCCTACTATGGAGCAGCCTTTCATCTCACCTGTCTCACAGCAACAAGGGGTGGCAGCAGAAGTCCTGACTCAAGACAAGGTGACATCCCCCGGGGAAGCAGACTGCTGCCCAAGGGCTCAGACACAGCAATCTCAGAAAGGCCGGCTGTCTAGGAACAGGGCTGCAATCACCCTCCTGTCAAGTTAGTCCTGGGCCAATCCTCGGAAGTAAAAACACCCCAGCAGGCCCACAAAGTCTTAAATGGCAAGAGGTTATCAGTGGGCGACTGGAGGCTGGTGGCTATAGAATCAGGCTCCCCAGAGGTCACCTTGAGGAAGCCTCCCTGCTCCCAGGGGAGGACACGCAAGCAGACTACTAGCTCCTACATGACTGTGTGGGGTGACTGAATATGTCTACTGAAGCCGGTGGATCTATAGAATGAGCCCATGACGGTTCTGATGGGGCAGTTACAGATGGGAGCCGTTTTGTTCTGGGTAGGAGAGAACAGCAGGACATGGAGTGCTCAGTCCCGGGAAGGCACTGAGGCTGGGACTTTGCTTCCACATACATCTTTCCAGAAGGCCAAACTCACATCTCTGACCGGAGCCCTCCAGCTAGCAAAGAACTTGTGGGTCAACTCACAGGCAGACCCTAACTATGGCTTCTTACCTCCCTATGCCTGTTCGGCTATCTGGGAAAGGGTCAATGTTCATAGCCAGAACTCTGCATTGCAAGTATGGGCCAAAGATCCTATGATCAACAACTCTTATCAATAAAACAGGAAATAAAAGGTGTTGGTGAGGACATGGAGACTGGAACCCTCAAGCACTGCTGCTGGTGGGAAAATAAAATCATACAGTTCCTGTGGGAAACAGATCGACAGCTCCTCAAAAAATAAAACATAATCCAGGCATCCCAGCACTTGAGAGGCCGAGGCAGGAGGATTGAGACTTTAAGGCCAGCCTGGGCTACATATTGAAAGCCTGTTTCAAAAAAAATTAAACGAAGAACACCATATGACCCAGCAATTCACTCCTAGAAATATACTCAGAAGTGAAAGCAGAGACAAACAGATACTTGTACACACACGTTCCTGGCAGCACTGTTCATGGTGGCCAAAAGGTGGAAGGAATCCACCGTCCATCAACAGATGAATGGATAAACACAGGAGGGGCCATTCATACAGGGGATTATATGGGCACAAAGCAAAGGAAGTTCTGGCACACACTTCAATGGGATGTGCCCTGAGGACATCAGCCTAAGTGAAACAAGGCAGACCCGCCTGCTTCCTGACTCCCACAAGGTACCTGCAAGAGTCAAGGACACTGAGACAAACAGCGCAGGAACACCCAGGGCTGGGGACAGGGTTTTGGGGGTGGGGAGGTATATCATAGTTAGAGAGTTTCGGGCTGAGATTCAGTTTTGGAAATAGTAGCAATGGTTACTCAACACTTTGAACATACACAATGCCACCGAACTCCACACTTAAAATGATTAAAATGGTAAACTTTTATGTTAGGCTCATTTAAAAATTTAAAGGGCTGGGAATGTAGCTCAGCAGTAGAATGCTTGCTTCACATATGTGAGGCCTTGGGTTACCCCCCCCCCCAAAAAAACCCCACCCAAATCCAAAACGAAACACCCTTAAAGAATGACACAAAAAGACAAAAAACGTTTTCATCTTGTAGTACACACTAGCACATTTGAAAGACTCCAATTTCTTATCCTCTGTCTGGGGATACGTGCACATGTGCATGCTAGCAATGAGGATCTTACAGATGACAGAAGAGTGAAGGAAGCCACGTTTCCCCGATTGCCCTGCTGTGAGGGCAGGGACAATGGGCGGTTGCCACTCCTTGCAGTGACCTGGCACTTCCCTGCCACACTCACGAGCAGGTCTCGCCCTGCCCTGCGTTCCTCCTGAGAGACTGCACAAGAGCTCTCTACCAGTCAGGCACAGACCTTGCTTCCGTCCATCTACGCTGCCACACTCGCTGCACTTGAAGCCTGGCTACTCCTCTCTGCATGTGGCTAGCCCCGTCATTGGTAGGCAAATCCTGCAGTTCCAGAAGCAGAAAAACATATCACATGAGCTTCCCCACTGCCTCATTACACAAACAGCAAACACGAGGGTGTTTCAGGCTGGAAAGAATACAAAGACACAGCAGCCTCAGTGGTCTTCACCAGGAATCAAGGCCTACAGAAGCACACAGCACAGATGGCCTCATGAATCTTAAACTGCTTTTTACCATACCTCCCTGGCTCGGCGAGTGAGGCTCCATAGCATGCTGGCTCAGGAGGTTCAGGCAGCTGTGCCTTCCTCTGCCCTCTGCATCCAGCCTCACCCAGAAACTGCCGTGCCTATGACAATCCACTTAAGAGAACTGAAGTGACTTGACAACACCACATTGTGGTTTGGGGCTAATCTGCAAGGGGAAACAATAATATCATACAGGACATATACTTTATATGTTATTTATAATAGTCACCCAAACAATGATATACATAAAAGATATAAAACGATATATATAAAAGAGTACAGGAAATCTGTCCACAGACTATAGACCAAGAATCCAGCTGAGAGCCTGGATCCAACAGAAATGTCCCGCATGAGTCCAGCTGAGGACCTAGAGCTCATAATAATGCCTCCCTTGAATCCAACTGGAGGCCCAGAGCCCATAACAATATCTCATGCAGGCCTGTTTCACGGATTTGCGCTGGCAAGGCCCTAAGGTCAGTGGTAGAATCGAGGAAGTCTGTGCCAGCAGGATGAAGGATCTGCGCTAGCAGCTGAGGGATCTACACTGGAGCCAGGAAGCGACTCTCAGAAAAACCAGAGCTCCCCCAAAAGGTACCATAGCCATCCTCAGCAACAGTGAAGTCCAGTGAAGTCACCTCTGATGATTAAGATGGCCAAGTTCCCATCAGGGAAGCCAATGCAGCAAGCCTCTCCAGGAAATTGGCAGTGCACCTTCTTCCCCTCCGGAGCCAGAAAACAATGCTCAAAGTGAGGACCAGAGCACCCCCAAAATGAACCAAAACCATTCTCAGTGCCAGCGAGGTCCCAGCTCCTTGGAGGATGAAAACAGCCAAGTTCATCAGGAAAGCCAGCATGACAAACTCCTCCAAAAAACCAACAGCTCCTTACAGCTTCCACCAGCTCCAACAGCCTTTCTCCACTCCCAAGAGCCTCTTATGCTGCTGGCAACAGTCCTCAGGTGGGCCTCACACACCCAGCACCACGCTTACTCAGTTTAGCTGGGGGTTATAAGTTGATAACCACCAGTTATCAATCCACTACAACACCCACACAGTATAAACAGCCCATCTGTAGGTTTAGGGGGCCAGTGCAGAGACACCTGCCTTTGCCTTCTGTCTTCTGAGAAGCCCAGAGCCAAACCCTGCAGTGACACAAGCGCTGATGGAGGCAGGTGCTCTGGAAAGGCTGGATGGGTTCTCCAGGGGTGATTGCAGGGCTGATGTACACAGCAGTGCTCTCAGGTATCACAGTGTTGGGGAGAGGCGCGGTGCCCCCTCCTCTGTCCTTTTCCAGAGGCTCAGGACACAAGCGAGGTGGCACGACAAGGTACACATACACCGCAGGTGCCTGGTACACGCGCACACTCATGCACATGCACACCCATGCACAAAGAAAAGGATGGGCCCACCAACCAAGAATCTAAACTCCTGTATCTGTTCTAACCTCTGAGCCCATTTCCCCCAATTTGTTATTAAGAAAAACGGAACTCAGCTTACAGCCAGAGGGCCAGGGCAACACAAGGACAGTTTGCTTTCCCAAGCAAGTGTACACACCATCACACACACACACACACACACACACACAACTTCCTAGCATCATGTTTCTATTTCAGAACACAATCATTGCAAACACTGACTCTTTTGACTTTATTCAAAAATAAAAGAGGCACAAAAAATATACAGCTAAAATGTTTGATGTCATCTAGAATCACAGGTTCACCAAGGAGTGATAGAGGCAATTCTGCATTTTTTTTGGGGGGGACTATGATTCCTAGAGACAGAATGAACTGTTTTTCAGAGAAATACACCTCAGGAAAATGCTACCCATGAGGTGGATGGCTGTGTCACTTCCATATCTTCCAGGTCCCAGGCTGGCTACTGGCAAAGAAAGCCTCTTCTGGGAGCAGTGTGGTCCTTGCAGAGGGATGGAGTCTCCTGCGGCTCCTCCTGGGGCCCGAGTAACACTACACAGCAAGTCACCTCCAGGAGGAAGTGCTGTGGACACATCTGTTCACATCCATCTCTAGTCAATCTGCCCCTCCAGCGTGTGGTGCAGGGTGACAGTTTTGAACACAAGGTGAGGAAGCTGGGGAGGGGTGGGGACTACACACCACACTCCAGGGCACGGAGGTCTTCCAGGAGCTCCTGGGCCGCAGTCTGCAGGAGGGGGTTGCGGCTCTTGGACATGGCCAGAATGCGCTGTAGGGGCAGTGAGTGCTGGAACTCAGAGGCCGACTTGGAGAAGACTTCTGGCTCCAGAACTACAGACTGGACAAGGCGCAGGGCATGAAGACACACTTCTGCATCTGGATCTGGGGAGACAGGGAACGCTTCTGTTCAAATAAAAGTGTCTCTGGGCTCTGCCCCTGGAAGGTTCTTTCTGAATGGCAGGCTTATCAGCTGAGAAAACTCGTCCAGGCTAATCCAGAAATAGTCACTTCTTTACGTGAAAGCACAGTTCAGAAAATCAGTACTATAAAACTCAACCATCCAGTATTCAGTAAGCACCCACTTTCAGATATGACAATCAAGTAATTTAAAAACGTGGAACTAGAAATGTGAGAGCTGCCATGGTGGCCTGGAAGGGCCTGACCAAAGGTCATGTATGTAAGGTGCTCCGTAGCTCTTGGTCTGGGGGTGGTGGGACCTCTGGGAGGGGTCAGCCTCGTGGAAGGAAGTTAGGTCAATGGGTGAGTGCTCTTAAAGGGGACACTGGGACCCCAGTCTCTCCCCAACCCAAAATTCATCTACACAATGTAATCCCAACCAAAATCTCAACCGAAGTTGACAGATCCTCAAATTTATTTGAAAAAGCACAGGAAGTGGGACAAGTAAAACAATGTGGAAAAAGAAAAATGCTTGAGAACTCACAATTCTAGATTCAAGACTACAGTTATCAAAACAGTGTAACATTAGTGAAGAGACACAGAGCTGAAGGAAGCAGAGTAATTCAGAAGGGAGCCTACAGCTTCAGTAACTCTCAGGAAAAGTTACAGATGCGATATAATCATGAAAGCACAGCCCTTCCAACATACAGCGCTGGAAAACTGAGCACTCATAGGCACAGGCTAAGAACTTCACATGCTGCCTCATATGTAAAAATTATACCCAGCATCTGACCTGTGTAAAGCCCAAACTGCATCATTTCTAGAAGAAAATCCTTGTACTTGTGAGTTAGGTAAAGTTTCTTAAGACACAAAACTAAAAGCACCACTAGTACCAAAAAGGAAAAAAAAAAGCCCTACTGGTCCCACCAAGATTGTTGACATCTTCTCTTCAAAAGATACAATTAAGGGGATTTAGCTCAGGAGCACAGTGCCTGCCCAGCAAGCACGAGATTGTGAGTTTGATTCCTAGTACTACAAAAAAAAAAAAAAAAAAAAAAAGACACAGTTAAGACAACAACAAGAAAAAAAGCCAAGAGAAAGCATCTGCAAAACAAACTGCATCTGTAAAGGGCCGAGGTCCTAGAATGTGACCAGAGGCCTAGCATCACTGGTTATTATGAAAACAAATTAAATCCACAATGAAATACCACCACGCACCTATCAGAATGGTTAAAATGAAAGTGAAGATAACCTGACAAGACCAAGTGTTGATGAGAATGAGGAGCAACTAGAACTCTCACACAATATTGATAAAATTTTAAATAGTATAGCAGTTTGGAAAAACAGTTTGACAGTTTCTTATAAAGGTAAACATATAATTACCATCCAACTTGGCAATCCAAATTCTAAGTAGTCAACCAGGAGAACAAAAACTTGTGTTTACAAAAAAACCTGTACACAAACATATGTAGTCTTTTTACTCATACATGCAAAAAGTGTAAATAATTAAAATATCCTTGAACAGAGGAGTGAATAAACTACTGACTGTGGTGGTACATTTATATACAACAAAAAAGTGCTCAGCAATAAAAAAAACCCAGAAAATTGATATAAACAATCACATGATGAATCTCAAATAAAACATGTTAAAGAAAAAAGCCAGACTTGTAAATTTATATACTGCGTGGTTTTATTCATAAGCCATTACAGAAATGGCAAAACTAAGGAAAAGAAAATGGATCCATCCAAGCTCTGTGGTGGGCAGTTTTAATTTGAGTTTTCCTAATAACCACTCAGTTATATGAGGTGACAACTGTTCTGTTGTTATGGTGGCAGTTACATGGTATATGCATCTTTCACTTAATGAGTGAATTTTTCTTTATGTAGATTATAACTCAATAAATCTAAGTTTATTTATTTATTTATTTATTTATTTATTGGTACCGGGAATCGAACTCAGGACCTTGTGCTTGCCAGGCAGGCACTTCTGCTGCTGAGCTATATCTCTGGCCCTAAATCTAAGTTTATTTAAAAAAACAAAACGGAAGCAGCAATTAGATCCCAGGACCCTCTCCCTTACCCCCTACCCCTTCCCCAGATGGCAGGAAATTTATTTTCTGAAGTGCCCCTGGAGCAGGACACCAGCACAATTGTGGATAGAAGTTCTGTCTGGATAACAGATAAATACAACCCTACAAACCTAAGACACCCCCCTCCTGCTCTGTCTCCAGTTTGTAGACCCTCATCCTCCACACGGTGCGGCTGTGGATCGAGTGAGAGGCCCAAGAAGACAAATTCAAAAATACTGACTGTGGGTTCCCAGCCCTTGTTGCACCAGCACACGCTGCAGGCAAGTTCGTGGGCCCCTCCTGCAAGTTACCAGACACCTGCGGAATACGGAACTATAAGTACACAGGCTACTGATACTCATCTTGAGGTTGGAGAAGTAGCAGAACTTATTTCTGTGAGCACACTATGTGTTAGATGTCATGTTCTAAATGACTCCACATAACACCTCAATGAGAACACGCAATAGATTTATAATGACAAGTCCTGACAAATGGGGTTAAATGGATAATGAATAAATAGATAACTAGGCAAAACAAGGAAATTATTAACTGAGTGAAATACGAAACTGGAAGGAAAGAAAGCAGTGTTGGCTTGGCTCTGAGTAACAGCAGTCGTAATAATGTACACACTGAATGTTAATCTAACCCAAAATGTGACGCAGTCCTGGGGACACAGGAAGTGTGAATGAAGGCGAGAGCAAAGTGCTCTCCCTTTGGACTGAGACTAGCAGATAAATTTCCTTAGGAGACCTGTTCGGGGAAATGCTTCTCAAACCTGCTTATCCCCCAACACCCCCAACAGAAAATGCCATGTGTCGTAGCTGTAGGGCCCATGAGGGGAAGCTACATGGAAACTGATTTTACATAATTAAAATAAAGCACAACAAAATTCAAAGTATTAAATGATGAATCTGTTCAAAGCTTTCAAATAAATTATTATCAAATATGATGCAGAACTTATTTCTGTGAGCATACTATGTATTTGATGTCATGTTCTAAATGACTCCACATAATACCTCAATGAGAATATGCAATAGAGTAAGCCGGGCACGGTGGCACACACCTGTCATCCCAGCACTTGGGAGGCTGAGGCAGGAGGATCGTTGCGAGTTCGAGACCAGCCTGGGCTACAAAGTGAGCTTGAGGCCAGCCTGAATTGCATAGCGAGACCTTGTCTCAAAAAGACCAAAAAAAAAAAAAAAAAAGAGAGAATGTGCAATGGATTTGTATTGACAAGTCTTGACAAATGGTCTCTGACCACACATTGGTAATAACTTATAGTTCTTTTTTCCCCAATCATCTAAAATGCATAATGGTTGAAAAAAGAATGGAGTGGATTTTCCTTCTCATCTGTTGATGAAACTTTCTGATAGGGTCAGTATGGTTCAGATGCAGTCAAATCACTTCCGGTCAGGATGTCCAGGTAGTAGCAAAGCTCTCAGGGAAGCCACTGCATGGCCCTCCCTAGTGCTGGCCACTTCCAGGGCTCTGTGGATTCTGGGCCACAGTAAGGCCATGACCTGGGTTCTGCAGCACCTCAGAACAAGGACTGGTCCAGCAGCAGCAGCACAAACCCTGGACTTACAAACTCCAAAGAACAAGGTGAGCAGGTGAGGAAACCATCTTCTTCACCCCACACTGGCCTCCAGGTACTGGCTAGCACTTGCTTCTCTCCCCAGAACATTCTAGAAAGAGTTTCTGCTGTTGCTGCCATTCCTGCCTTGTCCTTACCCTCTAGTCACACTGCCTCCCACTCAATCCCTGTGACAGTCCAAAGACAGCACTGTGTGGCTTCCCAAAAGGGAAGAGGGGAGGTGGTTTCTCAAGTCATGAGACAAATGCAGCCTCAGCACAGGCTGACAGAAACAACCTCATGCTACATCAGCACGGAAGAGCGTGTGGTCTGCCAGGGGCAGCATTTGAGGCTGCCCCAGCTGTCTGGGGCATGACTACTCCAGCTGTCCCTGGCAACCTTGTACTTGTCCCCTGCAGTCTGGTCAGCAATAAGTATCCCACCTGAACAGTGATGGCCAGGACTGGCAGGCCCAGTATACTGTGCAGGCTGGCATGACTAAGCCACAAGTCCGTGTTTAGTAGGCAGGAGACGAACACATGTGCGGCCCATCCCTTTGTCTGTATGGACAGCACTCCTCTTGCTTTCATCGTCAGGCCTGTCTGGGACCTCCACCCCCTACACTACCGTCACGCTGCAGCATCAAGCCTTGTTTACACAGCTTCACGGCCTATTTGTGATACCTAGTGCTGGTAGAATAGACTGAGCTGGTTGCACTGAGAACCAAAGGCGGCTAGTCCCAAGAACACTGAGCAGCCAGAGAACAGCTGAAGAGCTCCAGAAAACAGCAGAGACAGCAGTGGAGAGCTTAGAAGAGCAGCTGGGAGCTGCTGGTCCAGCCACTGGAGGAGCTCCAAAAAGTGGCCAGGGAAAAAAAAAAAAAAAAAGAAAGTGGCCAGAAGCTCTATGTTCTGGCTGCTGAGGGGTTGCTGAGGGGCTGCTGAGGGACTGCTGAGGGACTGCTGAGGGCAGCTGGGACAGCTGTTAGTACTGGTTGATACCCAGGTAACACGGTTACAGCAAGAGCTGAGAGCCACTGGAATCCACACTTGGAGGTATAGCGAGTGGAAAGCTGCTGGCACTTAGAACGGTTAACACTCAGGGAGATGCACTTCGCCTTTATGCAACTTCTATCCAAATTCAGCAAAAGAACCTCAGCCAATTAGTGGCACTTGGAGGTCAGGCCTTTGGAAAGTGATCAGATTAGAGCAGGGCACTAGGGTGGAGCCCCAAGATTGAACATGGGGGCTTCATAAGGAGAAAGAGACACACAGATCCCTGTCATGATGTGACGTAGCCAAGGGACCCCCCACTTGTGTCTATGCAGTCCTGGGGTGCTGAACCTCCAGAAACCTGAGTCAAAATAAACTTCTTTTTAAATAAAGCAGCCTGCCTTAAGTACTTCACTGTAGTTTTAAAAATGGACTAACACAGGGGGAAGGGGGTTTCCAAAGCAGCCACCATAGAAGTTCTTCAATGAGCTACTATGCTAGAAACACATTTTAAAATAATCTTAGCAAAGAAGAAGAAGATATAAAGAACAAAAGGAAAAGGTTGAACTGAAAAATACATTAACTGGAAGAGGCTTGGGGGAAACAATGGAAGGGACAGATGGAAAAAAAATCAGTGAACTGAAAGACAAGGGACAGATAAAAAAATCAGTGAACTGACAGATAGGACAATAGAAATTAGCCAGTGCCATCGATCAAGAGAAAGTAGACAAATAAAAAAAAGCAGAATTACTACAGAACAGTAAGAGATCAACACTTGTTTCACTGTAGTCCAGGAAGGAGAGAAAAATGGGCAGCACTGAAAAATAATCCAAGAAGTAATGACTGAAAACGTATCTGATTTGGCAAAGACAGGTCTATAGATAAACCTACAGGAAATCTATACCACTGTTACAGAAACAGACCAAACATGGAAGGTTTGGGAGGCAGTTTGTTCCACCAGCTGGCTTGCTCCCAAAGAGTTAGAGCCCTGCTCAGCAGGGTTTCAGGGCTTATTTTTTTTGGCGGGGGTGTTGGGGAGGGTGCTCAGGGCTTTTATGGGGAAAGTGGGGAGGTGCAAAGGCAGATTTGGCACATTGTGACTGGAGGGTTGGGTGGTATCATGGGTTGCTAAGGGAGTTTAAACATCTCAAGTTACATTGCAAGGCCATCTGTTAAACAAGCATGGGTTACACAAAGGAAGAAGTGTCCTGTTATCAGGTTTGTCCAGACATGTCTGCTTGGTTTTGGCGGGCATTCTTGGCAGATTTTATTTAAAATTTTAATTTCCCTTTCACCGTGACATGATGTAGCCAAGCCTCTGAAAATAATCTCCAAAGCAGCAAGAGACAAATGATCCCTTATCTATGGGGAAAACTACTTCATGACAGCAGATTCTCAACAGAAACCACAGAGGCCCAAAAGAAGTGACATGAAAATTTTAAGCTGTTGAAAGAAAAGAACTGTCAATTTCAGAAACCTAGGTCCAAGGAAAATATCCTTTAATGTGAAGGGAAATTCAAGTCATTCTCAGAAGAGGGGAAATCAGGGGAATTTATTGCCAGCAGATCAACTCTAAAGAACAGCCAGGCCACACAAAGCCTGCACAGGCCTGATCAGAGCAGCACGGTTCCAACAGCCTGAATGTCCACCAAGCAGAGAACAAAGGAACACTGTGACCACAGAATGGAGTATTAACTCAGCCACAGAAAGGAATGGAGTCCTGACACATGCTACAACACAGTGAACTGCGAAAACATGCCAAGTGAAAGAACACGCAAAGAGTATGCATAAGGGCAGGTACAACACAAAGGGAAATGAAGCTTCTACAATCCACTTAAGCTGGCCAAAGTCTACTCCTGGGCTCAGGAATTTTATATATACATATGTATGTTAAAATTCCATGAATAAAAACATTTTTCTCAGATGTTATCATCCAAGAACACTAAACGAGGTTAAAGTTTAAGCGGCACATATCTCTTACATGTACAACTGGCTAAGTTTCAACAAATGCACACATGCTACAAACATTTCCATCTCCACAAAGCTCCCTTGTGCATCTTTCTCATCAGCCTAATTTGTGAGCAACTGACATTCTCATTCTCCTGCAATGGATTAGTTGTCCCTGTTCTTAAAAATCGTATAGTTTAAAAAAAAAAAAAAAAAAAAAAAAAAGGAAATAAATTATGTTGTGCTTGGATTTTCGACAGTTTCTCAACTTGGTTTCCCAGGACCCTTTGGGAGCTACTTCCTCCTCATAAGCCCTTAGGAGCCTGGGTGGACGGCAGCCCCTGCCCTCCACCCTACCATGCCTCCTTCCAACAGCAGACAGGCTTCCTCCTTCACACCTCCACATCTGTCACCTGCGAGTGGAGGCAGGGCATCCCGCACCAGTGGTCTGGACCACAGCTTGACTACAGAATGCCACCAACAACTGTGCACTCTGATGTGATTTTAGCCTGGGCCAATGTCCTGCACAGCCTGAGGTCTCCAGTACTGGTGTCTTCCATGGACACAGGCCTCCAAGGGCTTCACAGCTCTCTCATCACACCTGTCCCCAGTAGCAGGATCTGAAGGAATGCCTGCACCACATCCAAGGTGCGCCACGCTGTTCACATGTCAGCCCAGCCTACCGCAGGATGGACTTGCTGCTGGCCAGTGGCTGGTCATCCTAATGGCTGACACCACCTTTCCTACTCTGTGTGCAGGGACCTGGAGAAAATCAAAGTGCAAGGCTAAGGTATAATCACACTTCCATAAAATGACGAGGGTTGTTTTTGGTACCGGGAATTGAACTCCAGACCACGTGCTTGCCAGACAGGTGTGGCTCTGCTGAGCTATATCCCCGGCACAGTGAGGGCTTCACTATTCCACCACTTCATGCACATGGCTGAACTGCAATGTCTCACTGAGGCGGGTGTGGCTGACTAGGTTTCTTAGGAAGAAGGCTCTTCCATGCACATACCTCTCTCCAATGGGATGCAGCTCACCCTGGGTACAAGCCACCTTGTCCCCATCCCTACCTATTCTCACGGACACACTGTCACTAGGGAGCCAGCGCAGTGAGTGGTTCCCAAACTGGACCCCTCAGGACACTGGTTCCTCCGGACAGTACCTCACATTCAACCCACTAAGAAGGAAAAGGGAAGGAAGGGCAGAATGGCACTCTGGGAATTCAGCTCTGGGTAACTGAAGGCCAGAGGACAAGGACACAGCAGGAAGACCTCCTAACCTCGCATGCCCTGGGGACAGCCCTTAGACAGGCAGGCACTGATTTCCTAATACTACATTTCTCAGACACAGGCACAAAACCTGATGTACACAGAACTCACCAAACCCGCGCAAAGGACATCCTGAGAGCTGCACAGCTCCTTAGTAGGCACTTGGAGGGCCTCTCTATTCTCAGTCGTAGCTTACAATAGCAACACACACATCTCTTTTCTTATCTGGTAATTATCCATTTTAAAAATGTCACACCCAAAGTGTATACACTAACATCGGAGGCACAGTGAGAGTACTGCACGCGGGGGGGCAGGTGAAGAATCGCCCCGGCAGCAGGATGTGGCGGAGACATGGAGCCCCATGTGTACCTGTGGGGGACAGGAAGAGGACAGCTTTGGAGGCTGGCTCTCCTGCCACAGCACCAGGCTGCCAGCAAGCGACACAGCAGCAGTGCCGAAGGGCTCGTGGGAACCCTTCATGATGGGACAGAAGAGGGGACGATCAGATTTCACGATGGGGTGGGAGCCCTCTGTCAAGCGGCTTCCATTTGGATTTTGAAGTTCTGGGAACATAAAATGTCTAACTATTTAGATTTTTAAGAAACAGACTAGTACTACCTTACATGGTATGCTATTTTATATTTCTAATTTCTTCTTTCTTAATAAAAAGAAACTGCTGTTTCTTCCACCTTTATAGTAAAACTAAAATCTTCTCGTGATAGGACACAGGCTCTTGGCTTCTTCCACAAACTCGTCTGCTTCAGAATTGTACCCCAGCAACAGATTCCTCACTTCCCGCTTCCAGAACCGCTTCTCCATTTTCCCACACGTGTTTCTGCATAGCAGATCACACACAGGCGGAAGCAGAAAAGGTGCTGCTGAGCCCAACCTTGGATCTGCTCCTTTTCTAAAATATGCCGGTGTGGCAGATGGGTCAGCTCTGAAGTACTGCAGTCTGAGTCACAACCAGCGTCGTCCTGCTTCAACACATGCCAAAATACATTACAGTAAGCAGATGTCAGGAAGCGCAGCAGAAATACGACTGGAAAACAGAGAATTTTCAGAGCGATGTGTCATCTATTAAAACGGAGGCAACACAGAACTTCTACATTTCAAGTGCAATGAAGGTTTAATTTATAAATTAAATATGTAGCAGAAGAAAAGACACAAGCTCAGCCCTCTAGAGGGGGCCAGGATATGAACACCAAATGCGGCGACTGGTAAGGAAGGTGGCATTCCCATTCTCCAAGCTGCTTCCTGGTCAGAGTTTAGGCAGTGCGTAGGGCCCACGTGTGGCGTAGGTACCAGGCCTGGCAGAGACTGATGGGCCACAGGGTGCTCAGGTACCCAGGCCAGAAATCCCTTCTGGATCCTACGTGAGAGAATGGTCTTTGAGAACTGCCTTATGGTTTGGCTTTGTGCGAAGGTTAGTTTACGAGTAAGAAATGTTGAATGTGAGAGTTTGTGCCAGCACACCCAACATGGGGTGCAGCAGAGAGACTCAGGAGGGAAGCACGAAAGGAGAACTCATGCAGTGGCTCCTGGAGCCTTCCCGACGGCTGGAGTGTTGGGAAAACAGGAGGTTTCCCGTATTCTTGGTCACCTGGTTAGACTTTCTGGTATACACAGACAGAAAAATGAAAGGAAAACAGAAAGAAAAATGCCCCAGGGACCTGGGGGACAATAAGCATATCTTTGGAGACCTGGAAGGAGAACATAAAAGTATCTGAAGAAATAATGGCCAAAATTACACAAATGTGAGGTAAGAACACTCTAAGGAGATGGAAGCTTACTGACACATCATAATCAAGTTGCTGAGAACCAGGGATAACGAGCATCTCAAAAGCAACAAAAGGTCCGCACGTGCCACACTCCGGAGGCAGAGATGGGAAGGGCGGCAGATGTCCTGACAGACCGTAGCAGGAGCCCTGTCCACCCAGACACGGCATGTGGGAAACTGGACTCTTCCAGACAAACAAGCTGAGAGAGCACCCCACACCAGCCTGCCTGCCTCGAAAGTGCTAAAGCAGGTCCTCGGGTGCAAGAACGACAGTGAGAACCTGCGTCTACAGAAAGGCACAGAAACCGCCAGCAGCACACACTGTTCTTCATATTTTTTCAGTCTCTTAAAAAGCAGCCTTTTAAAGCAAAATAATAAAAATGCATTTTGATGTTTACAAGATATGTATGACAACAAAATACTGCAAGGGGTAGGAAAACTTCTGGCATGATTGAAAAATACAGTAAATGTTAAAACTTTTTAAAAATGCTATTAAAATATTTATTATAATAAAAGACACACTGCCATGAATCCCCCTCAAAACCCTCCTCCTCACTTCAAACACACTAACCCTGCTGCCTGGCCACTTTCTGCAGCAGCTCTGGAGTCCTCTTTCGTGAGTGTTGGTGGCTGTGCTGTTGTGGCTGCCTTGATGTCCTGCACTGATCTAGAACGTTTCCCTTTCATGGTCATTTAGACTTTGTGAAAGAACCAAAAGTTACACAGCGCCAGATCCTGTGAATAACGTGGATGAGGACACAGCATCACATTTTTACAAGCCCACGTTCACTGTATTTTTTATCACACCTCAGAAAAACATTCAGGAAAGAGGCTTCCAGAACTGCTTCACAAAGAAGCAAGGATGCTGGGATAAATGTGTGAAGCAAGGGGGATTCAGGGTAATGTCTTTTATTGTGTAAGGTTTCCAATAGAAATATTCATGGTATATTCTGATCACACCTTGCACATAGCTGCAAGCTTCTCACTACTCAGCAATTATTTTAACATCAGAAGGTGGCTAAGACATTAAAGATGCAGACTTAGTATCCTAAACCACAAAGAGAGAAAAGATAAAGCCAATAAATCAATGATACAGATAAAATGAAATCACAAAATAATGCTAAATTAATCCAGAAGAAACTGGAATTGCAGGAGACAAGGAATAAGGAACAGACAAATAGAAAAGAATTATCAAGATGATAGACTTAATCACATTAAAGATACCTGATCTGAGCACTCCAATGAAAATACCAAGACAGCACACACCTATAATCCCAGCTAGGTGGGAGGTAAGGTAGGAGGAATGCAAGTTTGAGGATGTTTGGCAAGTTAGCAAGACTCTGTATAAGAATAAAAATATATTCCTTTTTATTCTTAGGGGTGACACTCAGTGGCAGAGCACTTGCCTAGCATGCAGAAGGCCTTGTGTTCAGTCCCTAAAACGACACACACACACACACACACACACACACACACACAAATAAAAAAGGCAAGGCTCAACCACATGTAATGAACTTTAAATATAAAGACACAGGCAGTTTAAAAGTAATAACATGAAAGAAAACAAAAGTAAAAACATGGCCAGGCATGGTGGCACACATCTGTAATCTCAGTACTTGGGAGGCTGAGGCAGGAGGATCCTTGTGAGTTCGAGGCCAGCCTGGGCTACAAAATGAGTTCAAGGCCAGCCTGAACTGCATAGCGAGACCCTGTCTCAAAAAGACAATCAATCAATCAATCAATAAATGTAAAAACATGGGAAGTAAGTAGCTAATTGAAGCCCAGCTGCAGTGGCTACCCTGACGTCCACACTGACCCAGGACAAGGGTGGCCCTCAGCGGGGAGGAGGAGCAATGCTCTGCACCCACTGCAGGACAGAACAGTCAGAGCAGCGCCACCCCGAGTGTGCACTTAGCAGCAGAGCACATCGGCAGAGTCTGCCAGATGCAAGGAGAAGCAAGTCCACAGTCTCAACAGCGGGTAGAGCAGGCAGAGAGAACAGCAGGGCGGTGCGGCAGCCTCACAGTATCACCTACATGCTCGGATGCATGACTGTACAGTGCTCTGCCCAGCAAAAGCAGAACAGCCCTCCTCTAGCTGTGCACGTGGAATATGCGTAAGGTAGACCATGTGTGAGGCTATGGCACAAGTCTCAATACAGGAACGGCTTGAAATCATACATGAATATTCTCTGACCACAGAGGCATTATATTAAAAATCATATCAGAAAGATATCTGGACAGTCTCCAGACCTCTGGGAATTAAGGAAATCAACCTACATTAGAACGCGCACTATACCTCACACGAGAGAGTAAGGTGGTGCTTCAGAGCTCACAGGTGAGAGATGCCACACCCCCAAAGTTAGAAGGACACAGACTTCTTTCTAATGGGGCCTCCTCACACTCTGACATGCTACTAAATTCACACATGCATGCTATGTTAGTCGGAAGTAGTGAATTGTGCACGTATATTTAAAACCCAAGCCAGGCATGGTGCATACCTGTAATCCCAGCACTTGGGAGGCTGAGGCAGGAGGACTGCAGAGTTTGAGGCTAGCATGGGCTACAAAGTGAGTTCAAGACCAGCCTGAACTGCACAGAGACCCTGTACCAAAGAGACAAACAAACCTCGAAATGCATAGCATTTTCTTCTGTGCAGATCACATCAGAGATCTGCTGGTGCCACCCAGGCACAAACACCAGTCCTGTGAAGACACCCCCTCCCCTCGTGAGGCTCCTCTGCGCTCAGTACATCTGACATGCAGCCTGCCCTCATGCTCGCACACTCCTCCCCTCCTCCCCTCCTCCCCGTGCCGCCCACTGTGCTCAGCACTCCCAGCCTTCTTTGCCCATGGCAGTACGGACTGCTCTCTGCAAGGACACCAGGGGCCCCTGAACACTGCTCTTGGCCTCCCTCTTGAGGCCCAGTCCTTCGCCACTCCACCTTTCCTCCCGCAGCCTAACAGAAGCACCCCAGGCAGGCCTTCCAGGCCCCAGTCCTCAGTCACAGGCTCTCCACCCTGAGGGTAACATAAGCTTTCTCTGCTTCAGGGCAGAGCTCCAAACTGACTTCTCCAAATTCATTTTATGCTGACTTCTTCCTGAAGAGCACTCATCTTTTCGAGTCCAAACTCAGTTAAGCTCCTAGAGTGACAGGGAACAAGGGTATGGTCAGCTGTGGCCACAGCCTGTGGAAGACACCTAGAGATGTGGTTGTAGAGGGAAGCTGAGGCAGGGCCTGGGCCCAGATTTTATCCTAAGCACAACTGGGTCGCTGCAGTTATGGATGAGGGGCAGTAGAGTGGTGCGGCAGCGAATGATCCTCTAACGCTGCAGTGTGGACAGGGATGGCTGCATTAGAGACACAATCCAGTGGCACAGCGAACCTTCCAAAACTCTTCAGTCACTTCAAAAGAAATGCTGACAGGCCACAGGCGGTCAGAGCAGTGTGGGGACAGGAAGAGGTGACAATGGCCAGAATCAACAGAATACACATGATGTGAGAAGGGAAGGCCCTGCCTGGGGGTGGCACAGTGTGGCCCCTGACCCAGGAGGGGTGAGTGAGCAAAGAGGAAGTCCCGGGGAGAGACAGCACCGCCAGCCCTGGGCACGTCATGCTGAGGTGGCTCTGGGGCGTCCACGTAAGGAAGACCACAGCCCTTGACGCTGGTGTAGAGCTGGGGATAGAAGCAATGCCAGAAGGAGGAAACCAGTCAGCTGTGGGTGTAGAGCAACTCCCAGAGTTGTGTGCAGCTCTGGAGAAGTCACTGCTGTGGAGGGAGCCCTGGGCAGGCCAACAACTGCGGAGAGGTGAGGAGGGTGCCCCCAGAGAAACCAAAGTAAAAAGCGAGAATGTGATGAGAGCTACCTCCGTTGCCAGCCCTAAAGCTGGCACACAGCGACCCTGCTCTGTGACAGGGCACCCTCAGAAGCTCTCCACCTACTCTGTGGCTCTCAGGAATGCATGGGGCACAAGCACCAGCGCTCAAGGACACCGCCACACTCTCCTCGTGTCTGGGATGTGCACGCCTGATGCTCAGGGACTTCCTTCTCCAGCACCCGCCCTTGAGAGTCACCACCCTCCAAAGCACACAAACTTCCTGTAAACAGGAGTGTCAGAGAACAGAGAGCGGGCCCAACTTGGGAAGAATCTGGGCATTCTGCCGTGGATATTCTTGCAAATCCTTGGCTTTCTGTCATACGATGTAACTCTTGAATAGCAGCCAAATTGATTCTGCTTTCACACGTCGATCCATTATGAAG